CAGACCCAATCAAACCCCTACAGACCCAATCAAACCTCTACAGACCCAATCAAACCTCTACAGACCCAATCAAACCTCTACAAACCTCTACAAACCCTATCAAACCTCTACACACCTCTACAAACCCTATCAAACCTCTACACACCCTATCTGGCCTCTCAGGAATTCTTCCTCTCCTTTCGTCTTCTACAATTCTCTGTGCTATGAGGAATTCTGCCCTTCTGGCTTCAAGGTTGTTATTGATTGTTTTCAGACCCTTCACTCTGCCATCCAGACTTGCCTTTTCCTCCACTGGAATCCATATGTCCCAAACTGTAAGGCTTGCAGTCGCATCTTGGACTAGTCTCTTTACACCATCCAATTGTAGCTCATAGCCATCTTTGTTAACAGCAGAAACTGGAATTGCATGGACTCCTTCGCAGGCTGCCTCAGCTTCCTGGATCGCAGACTTCACCTCATCTTCAGCGTATCTGGACCAGAGGTTGAATTGGACTGTCTTTCTGACTTCTTCCAGTCTTGTTTGGCAATCCTCCATTGTCTTCTCCAAATCTGCTTGCTGCTGCATGTCCAGCTTAGCTTCAATAGCCTCTCCAGCTTCAATGTCTACTAGTAGGCCTGTGCAATAGTCCTCATTTGCCTCACTGACAGTTCTTGCATAGGTAGCGAGCTTTTTAAACTCCTCTTGCAGTTCATTTTTTGTCATGTTCCCAGTGGCCCTGCTCAGGAAGTTGGCTTGCTTGGTGAAGGTGCTTTTAGCGATTGTCCTCTCCTGCTTCAGCTGCTTCACTGCCTTTCCGAGCACTTCCTCCGCCATTGTTACGGGTCAGTTTTCCGCTCTGCGTCGACAGCCGTTTAGTCTTCACTGCCAAGCTGGTTATCAACTCTCAAGTTATGTATGTTTTTGCTCTTGCCCAAACTTGAAAAACGGCCTGATCAGTACTGAAGGACTGCAAGGGACAACTCAAATCCTTTTATCTTCTTTTATTTAGGAGCAACAGGTTTTAGCAGTAGGATTAGTTAGGATTCAATAGTTTGATAATCTTAAAAACACAATACAAACATTGAATTTTTAAATGAATATTTTTAAACTATACAAAAACAGCCATTATTTTAAGTACTGCAATTAAATTAAACAATTTCAAAAACAACTCAAAATTGGAAATAGCAAAAATGAAAAAAATGCAGATTAAGTATGATACTTCATTATATATAACATGTACAAACAACTTAAACAACTACTTACATGTATACAAACATGAACTCAAACTTGAAAATTTCTCAGTACAACCAATGAGCCATGATAGTATAGCAATATATTAATCAAACTAAACATTCAAGTTGCTTGCCTTCAATGAATGAAATAAGTAGGCAGTCTACCAATCATGATAAATTATTTAAACACAACTGAAATAACTTAAACAAGAATTCAGCTTTTCCAACTGACATATAAGCTTCACATAAGCTCCTACCAGTTGCCTCTTCAGTAATTGATCCACGAGCTGAGTTCTTTTGTGTTTTAGTTTCTTGGTTGAAAAAGCCAGTATGATTCTCTTGCTTGTTTGGTGCCAGTGTGATTCCTTTGTTCTCAAACATTTCTCATGCAGGTATGCAGGTGTTGAAGCTTCTACAGGAAGTAGCATACTCGCATCCAGTTCTGTCTGCCCCCTGCAGGTTTGGAGTCTGAGTGCTTGACTAACAACTGTTATTTCTGCCACCTACAGGCTTGGAGGCTAGGAGCTGAGTGTGTTTTTGAAGGAATTGAGTGTATTTTGTTGCTGAGTGTGTTTTGACGCGACACCTATCAAACGTCTACAAACCCAATCAAACCTCTACAAATATCTATAAACACTATCAAACCTCTACAAACCCTATCAAACCTCTACACACCCTATCAAACCTCTACACACCCTATCAAACCCTATCAAACCTCTACAAACCCTATCAAACCTCTACA